GGGGACCTCCTGAAATAGCCCCCTTGGTGCTTGACATCTGATGGTGTATCATGATTTCTAGAGACCCTTTTTTCCTTGGGCAGTGTGGTGCTGCTATTTACTTCAGCCAGCCAATGGCACAGACATTATTTTCCCCTTGTTTTGGTTTCATTAGCTGTGTCGTTCCTGCACGCTTAATGACATTGCTTCCTGTGATAAATCGTAAAGAGATAGAACATTACCTGAGACACCATTCCATGTCTTGAATGGGGAAACAAGGATTAAAACAGCAGCTTCTTTGCTGTCATGGCAATAGAAATGCATGTCAGAGATAACTGAGCGGATCTGATTAAGGTGGTACCATGATCACCACAAGCATGTTCCCTCAGACAGCTAATGAGGACCATGACCTGGAATAACACTCTGGGTTTGCTTTTTTCTTCAGCACCTATCAAGTGTTCATGTGACGAACAAAATGCTGAAGAGGACCTTTTAAAAAGTAAGAATATCTGCTACACAGAAGAATAAGAAGAGTTTATTCTTTTACCTAAGCACTGTTTTTACTATTAACACTCTTTATCCGTGCAGGAATGTAGGACCCCTCTCCAGTAGCATCAACACTGAGATAGTACTTCCTGTCCCAAATTACATTTTACGTCTGTTTGAGGGAGAACAGTGTAACTCCATAAAGTGATTTGTCACAATCTTACTTCACTTTTGTTTCAGAAATAAATAGAAGGGAATTGCTCGCATTGATCATACTGTGCAATTTAAAACACTTGTCAGGAAATAAATACAGCAAACTCACAGGCACGAGAACAAAATACTGAGATGAGTTGGAACTGCCTGGTTATACAGCACAGGAAACAGGGCTTTGGTGTACCTTCTGAAATAAAACTGAGGGAGCTCTAATTTGCTGCACTGCAAATACACACAGTGTTTACCTCTGCCATTTAGATCAATCTTGCTAGTATTCTGTAAGACTGTAGGTATATTATCTTCTGCATTAATCTCCATCTCTTCCCTTTTCAGTTAAGGGTCCCTGACAGCCTGAATTCTGCTTAAAAAAAATAGTTTTAGATGATAGAAATATGTCTGTTGTTTCATCTTGTTTTTTCTAACACTTGAGTAAAAGGAAATAGGGAAAGTAAATTGTCATACTGGTGGTGATTCTGCTGCCCATGTGGTGAGAGGGGTCTTCACATGCTTTATGTTATCTGGACAAGCTATTAGAAGCTATTAAGATTTTTTAAGAGAACCTTCTGAGAAGTAGGAACTCACAATTTTAGTTAATTCAACTCTTATTAACCCTAAAAATTATTTTGGGGGATAAAATAAAGTTCTTCCTTTAGCTACGAAGTTCTCTCTGATCATGTAAGTAACCCCTTACTGATTTCAGTCTGCTGGAAAAAGTATAGAGGTTTTGGAACTTCTCCAAATAGAATGCAATTATATGCAAGTATTCCTGCCTGTTTATTGAAGGACAGACTTTTAAAAGTGCACAGTCGGATACTCATCTTTATTCATATTATTAATATATTTACATTAGAAATTCATTTCTGAGGATCACTGAAGTTTCAAAAGGCCTTTGGCTTTTACAGACAAATGTAATTCTCATGTTTTTGAGGCAGCTGATAGAGCAGTATTAAAGGTTTATTAATGTGTATGTGCATTCTGTTCCACCTTTAAGCATCTTGAAAAGGACAGAGCTGCACTACGTGACTTTCTGGAATGAAGTCCACTAGCATTGTTGGACAAACAATTGATTCAAGTATGTGATAGATAATGTAATATCTGGATGAATGAGATTCTATTTGAATCTATTTGAATATTTACTTTAAAAACAGCTATGCAGAATTACAGATAAAAGGTGGACAATAAAAGGTTAACACCACACTTCAGACTGTTAACACCATCTCATCCCTACAGTGCTATTTACTCTTTTAGCAAACCTGTCTTTTAAAACACTATCTATGCTGCTGTGTCCTTATACTGGTTTTGCAGAATTTGGGGCCTAAGGTTTGTCTAGTTAGTAAAGTTTCTATAGTTACACATAGAGCAGAGATGTACTTAGTTTGTTATAAAAAAATGGGGGGTTGTTATACGTGCAGCTATTTTTCTATAGAGATAAGAGAAGCAGAATGGTGATCTTACACCGAGTGACAGTATCCACTCAAGAGCCATGTAAATGTTCTATTTAAACATCAGAGTGACTGATGAATATGTTCCCATTTACAGCTTTCCTTTAGTTTTACTTTTGTCAGATAGAAGGTCTTCAGAACAGGACTTCTATTATAAATTATAATACTAAAGCATGAGAAAAAAACGCTCTTTTCTGCTTAGTCAGATTCCTGTGTTCAGGTTTCTTGTTAGAGGAGAATCATCACATATGTGACTTTAAACTTGCCAACAGACTAAAAACAAGGAGGGAAGAGAGCAGAGGAGGCATAAAGCTCATGGACAGTCTGTTTGGCAAGTATCAACTAGAACTGTAAGTAGTGTGAGCTAGAAGTGGTGCTGCCGTTATGCTGTTGGCTTTATGGAAACTGACCCTTGCGAGATTTCCATTCAGGTTCTCTGGTCATGTTTTTACTTTTAAGAATGTGATAGTATCAGTATGGCTTTACATTAAATGAGTTGAGGGATTCCTGTCCATATAAAACATGCACTTACAAAGCACATAAGCAGTCAGATTATGTAGAGCTTGAAACAGACAATCAATTAGATTTCTAATTGCTAGGACAGAGAGTGAGGCTCTTGGATTTTAAGATGAATGTGCACCAAAAAAGAAGTACAGTCCCTCTCAGACTGCCCTATTCTTGGACAACTTGATAAGCAGGTGCCAGGTTTGATTTCCAGCTTTATTTTGCATTTTTGAGCTTCTGTTGCAGATTTTCAGTGAACACTATTACTCTTCCCACAGGTACTGCAATGGCTGCAGGAGTTCTGCTGCAAAATGAACTACCATATTCTTCGTTGCTAGAGAGCAGTTTATATCTTGCAAATATGAGTTCAGGTAATAATTTTTCTCTGATATGGTATTCAGAAAAATGCTTCAAGAAATTTGGGGTGGGGTGGGTAAACACTCCCAAACCACACAAAACCCAAAAGAAACCCCCCCACCCCCCCCAAACCTCAAACCATTTTTCATAGAAAAGAATAAACCCCAGAAATCTTATCCCCAATTATAAACAAAATGTTTATATACAAAACCAAACCGCATTACTTTGTCATCACCACGATGTGTTAACATGTTGAGCTTTCCTGTAACATTCATATCGTCAGGTCTCTTGGTTGAAGAAACTATAATTTCTGTGCTCAGAACAGCCCAGCTCTCTGAAAACACAAACATGCCTTCAGCAAAACTTGCCCTCCTAATGAACTATGTAAACTCTTACAGGATGTAATTCTTTCTTTCTGTTTTGGGACAAATCCTGCTGCATTCAGTAGGAAAATAATGACATGCAGCATTTAATATTGCATATTTCTGGCTCCACTATCATTTGATACACACTGAAGAAGAGTTTCTGGGTAGAGAGACAGAAAAAGAATTACGTGTAGGAAAGCAGTATAATTAATTAGAAAAGATTCTTCATGTTTCTTGGATATGGGTAGCACCTGAAATAGCCTTTTTCATCTCCTTTCTCTTCCACCCCACCCCCCAAATAAAAGCGTATTTAAATACTTTCTCATCTCTTTATATCAGCTTTATTGCTGAATTAAAATAGTCAGTGTTTTGAGACAACAGCTAAGAGAGTCAGTGTTAATAACATTTTCCTTTTTTCACACGACATCACTACTGATGTTTCAGGCCTGGTGTCTACAGCAAACCTTACCACATCTCTTTAAGCACTGAGGTGCAGTACTCACAGTTCAGTCACTCAATTCCTGTTCAGTACCTAGAAGAAACAGAAGATTTTTCCCTGATGAATTTTTACCAGGAGAGCTTTCTCTTACACAGACTCCTCTGTAAGAGGTACTGGTTTTGTAGTACAAAAAGAAACACAGGTTGAAGGTATCTTTAGGAAAATGCAGTTGCTTATTGAACAAAGTTATGGTGGGTTTTCTTGATTTCGCCATCTTTAACCTGTAGTCAAATGCACAGACAATGGGATGACAAAGTTTAGCATTGCTACAGTCTGTTCTCCACACAGTGGCAAGAAAATGTGGTTTTGAGAGTGCTGCAATCTTTCTGGCCAGCTCATTCTCCTTCTTAGCACACTTGAAGCGAAGTGGGAGGCAATTTGCTGCCTAATATCTACCTTCAAAAGCCTAAAGCACTCAACTGATACATCTCCTCCCCCCCATCATCTGCTTTATCTCAGTCTGCAGGGCTAACAGCTTTGCTTTATAAAACAGCTGTGCCCTGGAAAAAAAATAAGCCTTTTGTTTTGAATAACACATTGTGTTTTGTTAGAAGATATGAATGGTGCAGAGCGAACAGTCTACAATTCATCATGTACTGAACCATTTCAGTGGGAACACACTAATCCCACTCATTACAGAGCTAATGATGCACTTTGGAGCAACCAAGTGGGGAGGAGAGGTGGTTGTGGAATGTCTAACCAAAAGGTGGGGGAGTATAATGTGCTTACATACAGATTTCTCAGGAAGCTGAGCCTCCAGCTACATTTTGATTGTTCTTTTGAATCCAGTACTTTGTGCCTTAGTAAGTTCTGAATGCATGTTACTGACAACTAACTAAATACCCACATTGTTTACAGAAAATGTTTTGGTTGTTCCCAATCCATTTGCAAAATTATCTACTTGAAATGCAACTATTTTCATCGAGCAGCCTCAGTGGAACAGTTTGTCCCAAAGAGGCTCCGTTCCTATAGACTGGAGCAGCCCCAGTGATGGCTGGCAGCATCTCCTTCGCTGTTAGTTACTATGGAGATAGCTCAGCCCATGCTGACGAGCTGCTGGAGCGCACAGAAGGATGCACAGCTCTACGCAACTTCAGTGCTGAGCAAGTTGGGTTTCCTATCAGGGCATCCTCAGCAGCCAGCCAGTAGCTGGGGCTGGTCAGTCATGCAGGGCTCACCCCGGAGGCGTTCAGCAGTCAGTATTTTTAGCAACTTTTTCCAGGGTCGGAGGCATTCCTCCTCCGATCCCCTGCTTCGCATCATCCAGAGGCGGCGGAGCTCAGCTGTAGAGGTCCTCTCATCATCGACTCACCGGGTTATGGTGGCGGTGTCATCCCTGAGCCCTGAGGAGCTGGATGCAACTTTTCCTGAGAAAAAAAGTAAAGTACTTTTTTCTAAGACTGTTGGCAGTTCTGGGCATTTTCTTGGTATTACATGAGCATACTTCTGTTAACTGTGTTTTATAGAGATGCATAAAATAACTCAGGTTTAATTCTTTTTCCTGTTCACTCTTT